GCTCATCTTCTGTTAATATCATGACCATTAATTGACAGTAATCTAAACATGTTATGTAACAATATAAATAAAACTGTTCTAAGATTAAGACACCAATGAGAGTTTTAATCATAGCATCTGGGTATATGATGTTATTAACTGTCATGAAATTTTGCAGAAGCTGATTTGTACAAGTGGGAGGAGGGAAGTGGTGGAATCTGTACCCTACGGTAGCATTTGTGCTTGCACTGGCCCTGCATCCATATACCAAAAATCCAGATTATGCATAATGAAACATCCCCCTTCAGATCCTGAATGCATGGTTGTGCACCTGACAACTTTATTTATTTCTTGTCGTGTCATAATAGACTGGTGGTTCTGTCCCATACTGCATAAGCAAGCAGATTACTGGCTATGTTAGCAATTTTCAGTGTTTTTTTTATACATAAGAACACATCACACACTGAAGAAAAAATTAAATCTTTATATTGTTGCTTAGAAGAACATTACTCTCAAATTCTGCATACAGTATGTTATATTAGAAGCATTCCAATGTTTGTTTCATAAACAAAAATGAATAATAAACCAAATAAGACAAAGAAGAAACCAAAAAGAAAAAACAATTATTTTCTTGCATGATTATTATCTACTTATCAATCACTCCATAAGAGGTACCAACTGTCATAATCTGGGTCTGAAAGGGACACACGCCTGTCATCTAATTAATTCAAACTGAAAATATTTTCTATACAGAATGACCCAAGCAGAGCACCACTGTTTTAAGATTCATTCAACAGACAGGAGGCAGCCAGGAATGTGTTCATGTTAATGGTAAAGTACTGTCAAGAAATACTGCTAAGCACCCCTTTATTTTAAAGATGGGAATGTGCATTTTAAGAAAGAAAACAGCTCACTTCCATGATCAAATTGAGAGTTCCACACTTCTGACAAAATCAAGAAAGTTAAAAACTCTGGCTATGAACTGAACTATCCATTTGGGAAACTTGGGTAAAATGGATAACCATTACTTTCTTGCTAGAACTCAGATGTGAAGACTGATTTCATAACAAAATCACTTGTAGTGGAAGAGTGAAGGGTGCTTTCCGCATGAAGAATCACAGACTCCGTAATTCTGCTAAACTCTGTGTGCACCCAGTTTGTATAGATAGGACATGTAAAATGGCAAGAACTGTAGTGATGGCTTCACCAGAGATATCAATGCCACATTAAGTTTATTTACTCCACCTTTTCACAGTTCTCAGTTGCATCCACTACAGACTGGGTTAGTTTGGCTAGTATGATAAGGTGACAGTATGGGACTCCCAGTTAAAACTATTATAAATGTATGAAGGGTGTTATCACTGAACTCAATTAATTAAGTAAATGGAATGCCAATAATGGAAATGAAGCCAGTAACCATTAATACTATTTTAATAGAAGGTTAACCTTACACAAATTTTCAGAATTCCCTGAGTGGATGAGAATGCAAGCCTCTTGAAAATAATAATTTCCTGCAATTGAAGATATTGTGGAAGTAAGTTACACATAATTTATACATAAAATTGTATCTAAAGAACTAATATATGACGTTTACTTAAATATATGTGCCAAATAATAATACACATAAAAATACTAACTTAATATCAAGTGAATATGCATTTCTGTAGAAGGATTAATACATAACCACTAATTAATACTATCATCATGTGTTACAAATAGATATATGTAAGTAGCTCTTCATTGAGAGATTTGAGGTCTCACAGCAGTGAATATGACGATTAGTGTATTCTGGGATATGGTGCCATATATTCTGGTAGAAAGGCACTAACATTTTGGAGTAACATGCTGCTTCCACCTTCACCGTCAAAGTGGCTTCAAAACATTTTTAAATTAAGTAATAAAATAAAGAGGGCTGCCTATATACAAATATACTTGTATAAATGTAAGTCAAATAACAATTCAATTTACTCGTATTCAGTTCAATTCCTCTGAGTGCTTGCCAACAGCAAGTAGCCTATAACTGGTGAACACTAATATATATACAAAATATGAACTAAACTATAAACTAAAAACTAAAGCAAAACATCATGCTAATAGAAATAACAAAGTATCCTCAAGGGAAATAGAGTGTTTATTTAAAAATACCTAGCAATTGGCAGATTCTGCTTGCAGCCATGATAAACATTTATAAAGAATAAGTCCTGAAACATTACTAACATTAAAAGTAAAAAACTCCATGATTTGCTTAGTGCATACATGGAGACCACCAATATCCCTAACAGAACAACTGCTGATTTTGTACTTGAAAACGTTCACAAGAAATAAAGCATTACACTGAAGCCCGGAATAAAGTATTCTGAAGTTCAAACAATTCAAAACTGACTAATACTTATCAGGAAAAGCAGACTGATTAAACTGACTTAACATAAATTTGCAAACTTTCTTTGTATATTTTCTAACTTACTGCGATCTATCAGAGTAGGGTTACTGCAGGTGATAGGGGCATACTCAAGCTTTGACTGAATGATGGAAATATATAAATTACTACATTATTGAGGAAAGAAAAATGACATGCGATTAAATGAATAAGTACCATAACTTTAACGCACATAAAAATATTTGGGCCAACATGATGATGAAAGCATAGCTTAGTACCCACCATAACACAAGGAGTACATATGATTAAAATATCACCAATATAGTAATAAACTAAATAATGTTAGTTTTGCATATAAAATAAAAGATACTGGTTTTAGGCATGTTAATTTTCATATCATTTTCAATATACTGCTCTTGTGCCAAATCAATGTCAGACTGTAGATATTTATACTCAGCAGCCAACTTTTTAACATGAAACATTCATAATGTTGTATTTTGGCGTCCTGTTGCACTGATTTTCTTCCATGATATGTATACAGTTTCCGTCTTGTAGTGCACTCAACTTCTCCCGTTACTTCACAACATGTTTCGGCAACATAGTGCCATCATCAGGTGCCCTAATTACGCTAATCTATTTCACTGCTTCCCTTTATAAAATTATTTAAAAAGTATTTAAAAAGCGTGTATTTGTCAACTACAATAAATTTACACACACTAAAACTTGTTAAGATTATTCATCTTATGTGTCATAATTAAAACTTGCGTGTGGTTCTTCCACTATGGGGGTCGTTTTTCTTATATGCTCTGTAAACCATGTCTTGTGGTGTGTGTTCCCTTCTTAGCTGCGAGTGTTGTGAAGTAACGGGAGAAATTGAGTGCACTACAAGATGGCAACTGTATACATATCATGAATGAAACATTCTTATATCATCAGGAGAAATAAAGTTGGAAAAATGAATTTTGGCACATAAATCATTAACAGAAGTACTGAACATACAAAGTCCTAAGGTAGAGTCTTGTGGCACTTCTGACCTCACAGGCAAAGGTGATAAAAACTTCTCTAGCATGCCAACAAAGGAAAATCTAGATGATAAATAACTTTAGAACCAAGTAATATAACATCCTGAGAGTCCAGAATTATAAAGTTTACGTAATAGAGGACTATGAGGGACTTTTATCAAAGTCTTGGTTGAGATCAAAATAAACAGAATCAATATGCTCTTATAAACATACACAAACTGCAACAGATTTTAAGTAAAGTAATTAGTTCTGGCAAGGTTTCATTTAATAAACATGAATGTAGTTTAAATTTAAAATAAAGGGAGAACTGATAACATATTAAACTTTCAAAAATTTTGGACAAATTATTTAAAATTGTAATGCAAAGCACTGTTACTTTTTTTGGAAATGGGAAAAAAGTCTGCTTTTTTCGTACAGAAGACTACTTCCCTTTTAATAAATAATCATACACATTTCTGTACCAAATGAAAATTCTTTTCAGAACTACCCTGAAGATAGAGGCAGTAGATTCCTTGAAAAGTTAGTACCTTTCAGTCAGACTTACAAGGCACCACATCCAAGAAGACAGTAATATCCATTCATAGTTATTCATTGTTTTACAAAGCTGCGAATACTAAGGGCATTCTGTCTTATGGACCCACCAACATCCCTCTTTGTTAAAGAAGTACACTTCTGGGTGGCCGAAACTCGATCTGCGCACTTGCACCCCAGTGTCTTGAGCCTTCATGAACATTACATCTTGAGATACTGCAGTCATTGTAAAATTACATAGGTGAAACCAGAGGCAGCCCTTAGTTGGGCAAGGCAACACCGCAGTCAACAATACTTCAGATACAGTGGTCCCCAAACTTTATCATTTTATGAACATTCTTCCTTGAGAAATTAGAATAAGTAAAACCCCATCTGAAGTTATACATGTACAGTGGAAATCACTGTTTAATGTTCCTTGATATAGGGGTTTCCCTCATTTAACATTCAATTTCAATCTTTCCAAGTCAACAGTTTCACTGGTAAATTCTTCCATTTAAGACGTTCCCTAACTTTGGGTTTAAATGCAATGCTCCCAAAAGAAATGTTAAATGGGGTTTCACTGGATATATCTAACTTCTGAGTATGTGTTTCTCTCCTTCCTGTCACCCAAAATATCGAGCTCAGTACCCCACAGACAGATACTCCGTTATATGGATTTTTACGAAAAATTTCATATCTAGGAGGACAGGAAACTCGCATACATATGTATATCAAACAAGCAATGTTAACTGAAAACAGCAATAATATGTACAGTAAAGTTGTCCCTGTGCTTAAGTAATTAACCACTATGTCATGCATGCGTATGGGGAGTGGATGTATATATCCACATTTTCTTGACCTTGGCACTAGCAGAAAATAATAGGTTTTCCTCAAATAAATGGGGATGGGTCAGTCACATCTGTCTTTTCCTTTCTGACAACGTCAAACAAAAATCCAATACAGTATTACCCTTTTCCTTCATGCAGTCTCTCCGCAATATTATCTGAGCCTACAAAATAAGTATCAGTTTGGGAACCACTCTCACTTCATTCAGTTTATGTTCTTACACTAAATCTAATTAATGTTATATGATTGCATATTTTATGTATATATATATATATAACGTGTGCTATGTCCTAGTGTAACGGAAGGCAGAACATCTGATGCAGGATGCCTCGTCCGCTGCCATTGTCATCGGCCCTCATCTCTTCATCTGACATCACTAGCACGTCATCAAGATGGTGGGCCAAGTCCTGACGTCACACACAGTCTTCCAGTGACATGAGCAGTGGGTTCACATACTCAAAACCTTCAAATTCAGTCTGATCAATCTTCTCAATCACCCGCCTGTGAACATACAAAAGGAAGGGAAACGTTTAGTGAATGGTTCGTTCACAGGTTATTTAGTTAGTTAGTTATTAGAGAGGGTGGGTTTCCCCATGCACTTACACCTGTAGTGGTCCACTGTGCTTCCCTCTATGATTTCTACCAGTCTCTATATCCTACCGGTATTGGTGCTTACCATCAGTCCCGCCCAGCCAGCGAGACCGGCTCTACTGGCTGAGAAGTATCTATAATGCTTCCCCCATCTACCGGAGGTATTAAAGACTGCTGTTGGGCGGGAAACGTCCGCAATTTTGGCTCAGTGACCTCCGTTGGAGGTATGAGGTTCTTTTACGTGCCGTAAAGCTACGACACGGGACCCACGGCTTAAAGTCCCTCCCGGAGGACTTGTTCCCTGAATTATTCCGCGCTTAAAAATTCGACGACCTCCGCCGGGTATTTTGAACCCGCGTACTACGAGTCATGAGGTGGGAACGTTACCTCTAGACTACGGAGGCCGCTCACAGGTTATGTAACTATTAATCTACTTCTGAGTAGAATAAGACGAGATTATATACTGGAGTGAGATGTCTCTGAACAGGACATAATGGCGGACGTTCTCAGTTTTGAGTAACAAACGTGGATGTTGTGAGCAATTAATAACTATTTACTAGTTGAGGGTGGTACTGTACCATGGCACATAAACACTTAGTTGCTTGATGAAATGTGAACTGGACTTGGTTTCTATACCAATACAACATGTCCAGTGCATCTGAACAGCTATCAACTGCTTAAGGCAGATCCTGTACCTGACAATATATATTTACTTAATCAATTATTTGACTGTTAAATTGTACACTGGAATAAATGGGCTAAGGATAGCGTCCAAGGAGTGCTGATTACTGATCCAGCTTTACACAATACAGCCCTTTGGGGCACTTCGAAACCACGATTTAACTGAATACATATGCTATCAACTTCAAAAGTTCTGGAGTGAAATCCTCATATAATAATTCAGTTCAATTCTTATGTATGTATTTACATGCAAATTTAACAGCCCAGAGGTCAATATAACTGCACTCTTCTCGCCTCCTTTTCTTCTTGAAGTCACCTTTTTAACAGTCCTTCTCAGCTACCTCCTTGTTTCTACTTAATTGTGATCTTCTTTCTTGTACTTAAATTTTTATCTCGGGGTTCGTTGTTGGATACGGTAGAGCTGGATCCTCTTATCTCAGAGACTTAACGGGCCACACTCAAAGAAGCAGAAATAACACAGACTACCAAAGCACATTCACATTCAGAGGTATTATTATTCAGCACTTGTTAGTTGCCGTTTAACACTTTACAATTGACTACTTGTTTAGACACTTTTGAAACTAAACCACTTTTCAGGTTTTAATTTATTATTATTAAAACTTGCTTCGGTCTAAGTGGTTAACACTTTACAACTGAGTACTACCAGTATATTTTCTCAAGGGCCGGAGTGTGAGACTTTACTTCTTTCCTACGATTCCCGGTACGTGACTTTCACGTCTGGTTCTTACGAGTCCCGGTGTGTGACGGACTTCGACAACTGATTTCTACTCGGACCTCCAAGTCCTTGTTTCCTCAGCGTCTCTGCTCTGTCACACCCTTAAATTTTAGTGATTATATCTGAAAAATAGGAGTATCTTAATTAGATATTCCTCCACTCCGTTTAAAGCTTACAAAGGTTTAAGGATTTCTGACTCCAACGTATTTCTGTCAGAATTTGACAAATGTGAAGCGTGGCTTGGGGTCATAAAACCCCAATCCTTTCATGCAATTTTCCTCTAATAAACCTTCAACGGGTGTCTTCCTGTTTCTGCTGTAAACGTGGGAAGACGCTAACTCATACATACAAGAAGGGACCTATGTCTCACTACACTTGTTCATTGAATTTCATTTTGAACAGTTAAGATTTCAAATTAATAAAGTTAACTACATTCAAATAAGTTGCGTAGCAGTGGAACGGTCACGCCAATTACATAGTTAGCAAGCGTAATAACTCAATTCAATTCGTGTTTATTTATGTGCAAACTTTACAGCACAGTGGTCAATAATAATAATGTGACATGTCTAACCGTTGCTGGGAAACGGGAGGTGGAACGAGTCACCACGAAGACAGACCCTTGATAAACGGTCGGTTGCCAAGTTACGCAACAGTAAGGAAAGCGGTGTTTGTACGTGCCGAGCCGAGACGAAATGCGCTGGTTGCTACGCAGCGTTGCCCAGCAACACCTTTGTAAACACGGCGTCACGCAACAGGAGTGCCCGTGCTGCGACTGTTGCTAGGCAATCGGTAAACACGACGTCACGCAACAGTGAAAGCTATCACGTTACTCAGCCGTGTCAAACATGCGGCCCCCATAGCCACAGAGTGCGGCCCCTAAACTTTTAGAGCTAATTGATATTAAAATCAATATTAAAATTTTAGTAAAATATTTTTTGTAAAGACAATTTTCCAACAGACCAGAAGACAAGAAGTCTCACGCAGACATACTAAATTAGCAGGCTGCAGGAAATTCAATGTTATGCTATTTCTAACATAATTTCTTGTGTAATCTCTTTTTACATATTGAAAAGCTGTTTGATAATTGTCAAAAATGGCATTTTCTTGCTTCTTAAAACTGTAAGATATGTGACTTTAGGTAATTATATTGAAATTATTCCTAAATAATAAATATAATTAAATTTCCTTGTATCAAAATCTAATGTATATTTCTATTTTGAAGTGCGGCCCTGGACTATTATTTATAGGGCTGAGGTGGCCCTTTGCCCAAGTTGAGTTTGACATGCCTGACGTAACTGTTTTCTGTGTTGTCAGTGCGGAAGCTACATAACAGGAGTATTCGTCAGTGAGAGAAAGTAGCCAGTCAGTCGCAGTCCAGCATTCGCCGGAGTGAATGGAAGCAGAAGAAGTATTTGTGATACTGCAGACGGCAGTAGTTGTGAGATTGTAAATTGTGTAAGTGTAAGAGCGAATGTGCACTAAATTCGCTAGATCCAGAACGGCGTGAAGTTATTTGTGGCGTGACCTACCCAACACGTGACAATAATAAAACTCCGTGGCCTGCAGTCCGCAAGCAAACTATACCGACCGAACGACCGCTGCTTGTCGGCGAAGTTAGTGCCAAATTTAGTGGTTAGAGGGCGTCACGTGGTCAGCACAACGGATCTCGATTTTCTACAACGGAGCCGCTATTTCCTTGAAACAGCTCCTCAATTATCCTCATGGGACTGAGTGGACCCGTTCCAGGTCCACTACGTAATAATAATAACAATAATTTCTTCGATGAATATCGACACTGTAATACCCAGTGACAATGAAATTTATCGCTGCATCTTCTGGTCCTGTGGTAACTAACAGATAAGTTTAACACTTGGTTTCCAACATAACGAGGAACCGACAAACACTGCCCGGCTAATTATGTAGGCCTATAGATATATATCTTGACGTAGGCACAAGACGTAATGTTTCTGGCTCAGAGTCGTATCCAAACTTTGGGTTCTGTTTTCACTGAAATACGATGAACTCCTGAGATCGGGTACGCAATACAGAACGAGATATCGTCTGCGAATGACAGAGGTGAAAGGATGTGGGGGTATTGATCGTGGTCTATTTTAAACATTAGATAAACTGAGGATTACGTTAAACTTAGTTCAAGCACAGCTGAGTCGACGGTAGACTACGAATTCCTACAACAGCCGGGCTACCGTGACAACATTATCGCGGATTTCATCACTCGACAAAGACAATGAGGCCAAAAAGCGCTTCCCCATTCCTTAGAAAGTCTGATCATCCTGCCAGGGTTAATTCGGCAGATATTACAGCACGGTACGGCGGAATAAGCATGAACACAAACAGTTACAGAGGTTTGAACAACTTTAGGCCATCTTGCCTGAAGAATACGGGTTTTATCAGGCACTCCATCAAACAACCGGGAAAATACCAAGCTGCGATAACTGAAATCCACATTCCTTACAAATATCACACATTTTATGCAGTTGATAAAGCCAACATGGGGGAGAAGAAGAAGAAGAAGAAGAAGAAGAAGAAGAAGAAAAAAGAAATAAGGTAACAACTAAGAGAGAGAAAGAAATATTGAGAAGAGACAAAGAAAGTAAGATACGGAAGGCTAGACGAGGGGATGTCCACAGATATTTCGATGTACTGATGCATTGCAAAGAAAATGACTGTAGATTGCTAAATTCATAAAAAGAAACCTTCCGTGGCTTTATTCCGCAAACGAACTATACGGACCGAGCTTGTCGGAGTTCCTGGCTACAAATCCAGAAGTCCGGGTTCGATTCCAGGAGCTACCTGATTTTCTGAGAAGTAGTGGGGTCTGGAACGGGGTCCACTCAGCCTCGCGAGGATAATTGAGGAGCTATTTCAAGGAAATGGCGGCTCCGAACTAGAAAACCGAAAATTTACGGCCGTCGGGATTCGTTGCGCTGACCGAGCGACACCCTCTCTCCGCTAAAGTTGTCACTAAATTCATAAAATATCCTAAGAAAATAATACAGAAAACAGAGTCGTCAGTGACCACGGACGCGGACAGAATTGGGGGGGGGGGCACCAGTAAATTTGCTTACAAAGTTACGTTCAAGCTGCATAAGAATATTCTGACGGATAGATGTGGGGCTCCGCCTTGAAACAGATAAAACCAAGCTGAAAAATAACTTCAGATTTTTCTTAAAAATCCGCTGGGAAAGCAGACGCCTGGCTTCTCCACGCCCACCACTTCATGTCCCTGGCCGGAATTACGAAGGTTGGCACAAGAATGCACTGCCGGAAGGCTGGTTGTCTTACTGCAGTAAATGTTTCAACAAGCACCCACAACCGTACAACATTTTGGCGGGTAATAAAACAAGTGACTTGTTTATTGGCATCCCGAAACGCGACGCATCTAATTTAACGGTCCGCTGAATGTTCAGAAACTATAAAACCCAAATGACAGAGCAGTGCCGGTTTAGGATAGCAGTAGTGAAGGATATGACAA